TTTATAACCAAAACTGAAATTTTGTTTCATATGTGTGGTTTCTATTATATTGTTTTCTTCGCCTGTAACTTAWGATATATGTTTTGCTATTTTGCATTTTAGGAGAYGATGTGTTATTGCGGCAAACCCTCAACAGAGCTTATCGTGTCAAGAAGTGATTACATTGTTAAAGCAATATCTTCAAGTTCAAAATTCGCTTAGAGTTAACATATTAATTCAAACTTTTGGAATTTTCCTTAAGTTAACCTAAAACACACTGCTGGTCATTCTTAACTAGCCGAAACCGTATGAGCAWCTTGCATTTATTATTGACTCGAACGCACTGTCTTGCGAAAGTSTCTATGTTTTTAGTCATTTAGACAAAACTGGATTCCATTTGTCCATTTTACACATATCTCACACGACAAAGCTGTTTCCTTGTTATTACTTTTTTGCTAGTTTTATTGATTACGGCATCAGAAAACCCATAATAATAATGACGTCAATATGGACACTTMTTACCTTCCACAATTTTGTTGACACTTTCGTGGCAAAGACATTCCATTCTTAGTTAATACAGCCAAATATGRAGGAAACAATGCAAATCAGCTAAGAAAATAAGCAACATACAGAAAACCTTGAATTTGTTGCAGTTAATATCAACAAATATCGAGAAAATTTGCTTGGTTGTCGGCTRAGAATGGAGGGYGAGCGTATTTGGGTAACCGGCTGTCAATTTGTATTTTGAGTGCTCGTCGTAAATTTCAGAAAAATTGAAAATAGTAGATTTATATGCTATGGCAAATCAAATTATATTCATCATATATGAAAAATGTTCAGTAAGTCGGAGTTGTATGGCCCAATTATTCATAAATACCGCACGTTGCAAATACTTAACGCCTAACGCCTCGGCCTAACTCTTTCATAATAGCTATATGACAGTTACTTTATACCATTTCGCACCTAAGCAAATACGACTAAGTATCTACGCACTTGTCTATAAATATGTTTSAACAAAAAGGTGTTATTATTAGGATTCAGAAATACTTGTAGTATGAACAAAGAACCAGTAAGTGTTTGGTGGCTAAATTTGCACGCCAAATTACTAAATTTCGCGGTGAACAATGTCAATGTGTTTGAAAAGTTACATGCAGGACAAAAGTTTTAAATGCTAACAGCAGCTTGTGGGATTGTTGAATCGAACAAACAGCTGTCTTAAATTACACCGAGTGGCATAATCGAAACGTTATAGAATAGTAAGCGCTTATACCACTGTACTACAGACTCAGAGAGGACCTAAATATGCTAACTTAGATTCTAATTATTGTAAAGATGTGCATTAACGAAAGGTAGCTTGCTACTCTCTACTCTCTTCTGTAAAATTCAAACGTATTACTTTGTTGTTGTCGTACGTGTAAATTGCAAGACAAGAGAGCGGCACTCAAACTAAGCCAGCATACAAGCGGTGAATGGCTAATCAAAAATTAACTATTTGATATTTAGTTAACTTTGACATTCAGATTATTCAATTTTATCAACGACATAAGCCAAGGAGTGGTATAAAGACCTTAAAAAACATTCGAGAGATCATTGAAGACAGGCCTCGTTGTGGATAATCTTCAGATATGGTGCTTAAAAATCCTCAGGCGGGTGTTAGAGAGATGGCAAGAGAGCTCGACATGATTTTGGTGGATATTTTGAATATGAAAAGCGTTCTTGCTCGACTCGTTCCTATAAAAATGATTTTTTTCAAAAATAATAAGATTGCAACCGAACTTAAAGCCAAAAACACAAAGAATACCTTTAATCAGCCATATATTCGTGATTTTTTCTTGTTCTCCAAACTGAAAATGCCGCTCAAGGGTCAGTCGATCGAAGAGATAAAACAAAGTTTGCTGAAGAAGCTGAAGACCGTCCCAAAAATAGTTATGAAAAGTGTTTCGAGGACTGTAAATATCTTTGGCATAAGTGCATTACAACTGGTGGGGATGACCTTGAAGGCGACAAAATAAATATTGATGAATAATTAAATATTTTGGGTTAAATTTTTGGGTACTTTCTTGTTACAATATACATGTTGTCTTGCTGTAACAAGCTTAATTATGTGTGATACAGTTCGAGAGTAAGCCAAACTCATCCTTACAAATTGAATCGAAAGCTGAGTTTACTTAACTTGTGGATGACTAATGTTTGTCGAAGTATGTAATATAAGGAACAAAATTATTAAATAATAATAACGAAAATCATGAGAAAAATGATGAAGAGGAATGAGTAAGCAAACTAAAACAAATGAAAATTAAAGCAAAATAAAAGATCAGAAACAGCAATAACAAARTTGAAAGAGGACTTAAGGCTAAGCGTAAGCGTTCACTTGAAAAGTTTGAAACAGGAAAAGCAAGCGTAATAAGAAAATTGAGAAAGAATGAGTAATTAAATAAAACAATTAAAATAAATTGATTGAAAGAAATTGCAAGAAATAAAGATGTCATTAGATTAAACGTAAGCCGTCATGGTGCATGAAGCCATGTGTAGAAGTTCATGCAAGTGAGGAAGGCTCTCTGAGCGCCATTCACTTGGAAGCTTCAGAAATGATTCTTTTACATATGGCTCAAGCAGCTCACGACTTCCGGTCTTAGACCAAGTKTGCTCTGGGTAGCCAAAATACATCCTTTTGAAGGCGAGCCACGAAAGTGAGAAGGCTTGTGGGCCTCGGATGAGAGACCCTTCTTTTGATGACGACCAGTAGACCAAAAAGAAAAACAAACTTTCAATAATAAAACAGTTTGAACAAATAATTTTTCTGTAATGATTCACAGACTTTTTTTTTTAGCTTTGGGAAGTTCTAACACCACTAAGAAAGCAATAAAAAGAAAATATATGAACTTGGCAATAATTAAACTGGRAAGGTCTTCACATGTCCAATTCTTGAAGGATTACCAATACCAAACATTTATAAAAACGCCTTAAACTTGATGAGGACTGTTTCAAACAGTCTCTAGTTGTAGAAAAACAAGCTCTGAATAGACAAATACTTCTATTCCGAGTTTAAATCAAATTCAAATTCAGTTAAACAAAAATAACACTTTTTTTTGTAACTGTAACTTGTTAAAAATATATTGATTTGCACTTACTTGTACATTTGAACATGGGTGTTTCACGTTTTTTTTTTCTTTTCAGCACTCACTTCGTCTGCTTGAACCAGTTCACGACTATTTACGTAATCTTCGATATATTATTGAGCACGTCAAGTGGCTTAACACCAATTCACACTTTGCAGGACGATAAAAAAATTTGCTTTCAATTGTTATGCAAATGCAATAAACGAAGAAAGCAAACACGAATATGAAAATCAAAACAAAGCAAATGAAATCGCGAGCAAAATTCCGGTATTTTAGCAACAAAGCACTTCGGTATGATTTTGTATRCGCACGAGCCAAAAACGATTCCTTTGGGAATAAAAACAACGGCACTCAACACGACACCTTTTRCACGAGACTTCTGCTTCAGWCGACAGCTGACAAGGCAGTGAATTAACTTGGCTAATTGATCGTTTATGTATAATACCCGTTCAGGCCTAACCGGCGACTGTGACCGACAGACAGCTGAGTTGGTGATGATGACAAGCGCACGAGCAAATAAAGAAGAAGAAAAAAATGTAAAGCAAATAAGCGACAAAGTTTTACCACAGCAACACACCACAATAATAGCAACAAACACAAACACAATGCAGAAAAAAAAATATTGCTGAATAAAGCAAAGCGCTGCTGACGCCGACAGCGACGCTGACGCAATTTTCGTCGTTGCAGTTGCCATTGCGGGTTGTAGTTGTGGTTGCCGCAATGACAAGAGCGCCGAAAGCAATACAAGCTGTGGCGCAAAAAAAAAAAAAAGAAAAAAAGCAATAAAAAAAATCATAACAAAAAATAAAAAAAAAATTAAACGAAGAAGCAAAGAAGCTAAGAAAGCGTTCACTTCGGCGGTACCGCAGCTATAACACCCTTCACAGTCAAATACCGTGAAAGTGTCTTGTTAAATAAAAGAACTTAATTCTGACCGATCAGTTTGTATAACAGCTATAGTCTATAGTGACCCGATCTAGACAATATGTTGGAAAATTATACCCTTGCCTTCGAAAAAATCTATACAGAATTTCAGCCATGAATATATGTAGTATATGCTTTAATGACCCGATGTCAGCGATTGCGTCAAATGAACAATTTCTTGAGAAGAAATTAACGTGAGTAAAATTTCAGATCGATAATTTAAAAATTGAGGTCGTGTATATACTGACGGACAGACGGACAGAGGGTGATTTCATTTTCCTTTTCCTTGCGAGCGGTTTCCATGGGGCGTGTCCCAAACCCAAAACATTTTTAAAGCAAATCGCTTTCTTTAAAGACCGACACCTGCTCGCAACCACACCTCTGATGAACAGACGCTGCAATTAGACTTCAGCGAACTCTTAAACCGAATAGGTGGCTTCGCTGATGCTTCCTCTGTTTTAGCTGTGACCCAGAACCCCCACGAGCTAGCTACCGCATCTTATACAAGTGATACCCACGTTTCCAGGATGCCCGGCGTAGACGCAAAAGTAGAGATTTGGTTCTACCACCGTAACTGCTTATGCAGAGGCATGATTACACCTCTGAAATCCTACTCAGAATTACTTTTGCCAACAGGTGCTACTTTGAAATGAGTAGGTACTTGAAATGTAAAGTCCTCTCTCGACAAATAAAGACCAAACTCYACAAGTCTCTCATCATTCCCGTCCTGCTATATGGTGAGGAGGCATGGACAGTGACATTATTTGATGAGTCGTGATGGGTCACGTTGGCTGAATGGATGGAAACACTCCAGTTCCTAGACTATTTGACGCAGTTGATCAATAGTAAAAAGTGTCATATTCCACCAGGATAATGCGAAATATCRTAAAAGTTTGATGGTTCGAAAGAAGCTTTTACTTATTCTCTAGACTTGGCACCATTGGACTATTACTTGTTCCGTTCTCTGCAAAKGTKTRTSGATGGRAGMACYTTCACYTCAAATCAGGACRGCAAAACCCATTTCRACCACTTTTTAACCTGCAGGAGTTAAATATTTTGAGAGCGTGGTATCCCGAAAAATAGCAAAAGGTATGGATCAAAATAAAGAATATATAATTTTATAAAATATTTTACTCAATAAAAAACGTGCTTAAATTGCACTAAAAAACGAAATTAATTAACGAATGACCCAATATATATTATATACATGAGATTTTCCGTAGTTTCCTTCTGGTTTTTGCAAGCTTCGTGGTAAATTTAATATGCATATGTATGTACCCTGTTAGGCGTATAAMAATTGCAACAAAAATGGCAACAATGTAAATACGAATTTGGTTGAGTGAGCAACACTTGTCGAATAATTACACCGAGCGACGCGAACAGCGCCAAAAATTACACACATATACACATGCATACATACATACATATTATAGCAACGGAAACGTCGACGCTGACGCTGACGCTGACGCTGACGTGCGCCGACAAGTGAGAATTGGCAGCGTGTATCTACGAAACTGCATTGTAGACATAACCAGAGAATGTTAAAATTCTCTGACATAACCTATGACCACTGTTTGCCGGTGTTTTGATAGAAACAGCCGAACAGCCAGCAGTCAMCGCTTCGGCAGCCCCTAAGCTCGCGCATGAAAAGTTGTTGTTCGTTGCTCCGCACCTTTGATTTCGTGCATTTCCAGACAACGGTAAATTTCAGCAGTGTCACGAGCACTGATTTGACCACAATAGGCATATTTTTATATGTTAATGTCGTTGTTGTTATTTTATTTTATATTTTTTATTTTTGTCAGCCGGCGTAGGTTTTGTGCCCGCAAATGACTGGTGGGTGCCTGACACCACACCTATGAAATGTTTAATAATTTGTGGTGYATAAATAGCACTCAGGTGGGAGGCTCAAGGTTGTCGAAACTATTAACGTATGGAATTACCTTATCATGTTGACCACTTTGTTATGCGCTCTTTTATGGTATATATGTAGGTAGGTATGGAAAAGAAGAGTGAGCTCTCTCTATTAGTAACTGATGCACTTTGATTTTTARAAGAAAATAAGAGTCAGATTAATTAAGTACTTGTAGAAAGTTGAGGACGCACGTAGATGGAGTTCACTTAGATATTTTTTGATTTATGGAAAAGCCTGGGCATATATGCAACAATTGTCTATTGAAAAGACGACGGCCTACCATAGTAAACCTCGTTTTCTTAATTCAACATAGTTCCTTGCAAGGGTGGTATACTGATTATAGCAACCCTCCAACAGTCGACACCATTTTATAGTACTATTAGTGCTTCGCATCAAAATGGGCATCAGTTTCGGCGATCAGCTCTTCATTCGACAAAAATATCTTTCCAGCGATCATTCTTTTGTGACCTGAGAACAGGAAATAGCCCATTTCAAGAGTATGCAATGCCCGCGGAAGCAATTCGAATCCGATTCATGGATTTTTGCCAGCCGACTGTTGCGTTTTTTTTGCCTAGAAGGGATGACTGTTGATGGGACTTCGGAGTAATATGATGGAGTCATCTTTCATCCATTGTCACATATCAATGCAAAATCTCGAGTTTCTTGCGAACAAAAGTGAGCTCGCGCGGCACCCGATTTGCTTAGATCTTTTTCATAYCCAAATATTCCTGAATATTTGATGTCCACGTTCAGTTGATATCTTTGAAGTGCCGGCTATCACAAACAACTTCACTTTACGGTCATCCGAAGTTAGTTTGAAAACTCTCTTGATGTTTTCATAGGTTATAGCCTGAATCCAGAATGGATAAGGAAGCAAAGCAGATGGGTCTGGTAATGAACGAGGGCAAAGCTAAATATCTCGTGTCATCAAACAAACAGTCGTCGCACTCGCGACTTGGCACTCACGTCACTGTTGACAGTCATAACTTCGAAGTCGTAGATAATTTCGTCTATCTTGRAGCCAGCATTAATACCAACAATAATGTCAGCCTCGAAATCGAACGCAGAAAAACTGTAGTCAGAAGGTGCCACTTCGGACTGAGTTGACAATTGAGAAGTAAAGTCCTCTCTTCACGAACAAAAACCAAACTGTATAAATCACTCATTATTCCCGGCCTACCATATGGCGCAGAGGCATGGACGTTGACAACATCTGATGAGTCGGCATTGCGAGTTTTGGAGAGAAAAGTTCTGCGAAAAATGTATGGTTACGTTCTCTGTTGCACAAACCCGGATAAGTATGTCAAAAAATTTTTTGCTATAAACAGCATGTTTTTACCATAATCTCTCCGTTATCAAGCGTATTTATATCTATTGCACATTGCATCATTTTATAAATAACTAAACAATATTTGTGGGCGTAAAGCCTATAACAGAAACTACAWTATACATATGTAAATAATGCTTAAATTTAATTGTAGAATAATATATTTCCAGTGAATCACGTAAGGCAGTATGAAATTCGGTTAGCATTTTTTAGTTGATATCCCCGGTTGTTAGAGGTTTATGAACAGTGTTACGTTTAAACAAATTTTTATTGCTTGTGATGTCAAATATATTTTATAAAGACACCTTTACTTCAGGATGTGAAACCCTATGAAAATGATGCACCAAATATTGAGGAAATTATTTGCGTCACCAACAATCAGGTTAGCATCAGCAGTTATCTCAAACGGTGGAATAACAAAACCATTTTACCATGAGCGTAACGAAGATCTCCAGGGGTTTAA